AAGCAAATGCGCCACTGGAATCAATGAAGTCGCCCCGGAGCGAAAAGTATTCAATTTAATTGTATTTATGACTTACGGTATATTATCTGCATGTAACTCTAACGGTTTAGGGAGCTCACGCCAAGATAGCTCCTAAGGAGCAAGACTTTTTCCGACATACTTAATACTTATCGTTATATTATTCCCAGAATTACACGAAACCTTTGTAAATTGTAGCCTATATGTGTATAAGCTGTATGTATGTAAAGTTGCATCTAAATCCGTTCAGTCGTTTAGGCGCGAAAGAGACACAAACATACATACATACATTCATCCATCCTCCCTAACTTTCACATTTATAGTATTAGTAAAGATAAGGCAAACCACTATTTATACGTGATTAGCCACTTTTTATTTCACATTGAAAGTTGCCGTGGTGTTTCAAGCGCTCACTCACAACGAATATTAATGAATATTGCTGGAGTTTTATCCCAACGCTATGTTATGTTAACACCTCGACACGAGTTTCGATAACCAAGTGATCATCTTCAAGATAATCTTCTACAAGAGGAAGATTAATCTTCCTCGTGTAGATGATTATCTTGATAACTGGCTTTGCTGCCGACACGGTTGTTTTTTTCAAAGAACTGAATAATACTCTGAAAGAGACAATTCAAAATGCACTACCAGTTTTATTCTAGTTCTTTAGTAGTAAACTTCTGACAGTCAATGTTGGAAAAACAGTATACTTACCACTGACCACTTATGAACCAAACTTACCCGAATATTAAAAAAAAATGTTTGATATGCATCACCTTCTCATCATGTATTATACACTTGTTCAAACACACAACAATTATGGAATTATTGCTTGGGGTGGAGTAACCAACAACTACCTGAAAAATCTCGAAACACTACATAAAGGCTCATAAAAATTATACTCGGTAAAAAACGTGACTATTCTAGTAATGATCTTTACAGGGAAACAGGGTTTCTTGAACAGGGTTTCTTGATATACGCCAAACTTTTTTACTCACTCTCTTAGTATACCAAAAAAAATATATTTCATCAAGCAAACACGTAAGTCACATATACAACACCCGATATAAGAAAGAAGTTTTGGAAGTACCCAAGAAATTAAACATAAAACATAATCTATATTAGCATTACACATACCCTGTAACATATCAGTTATGTATTGCATTATATATTGCTTTCCTAAACTGAGATAAGGGTAAGAAGAATATATCGATGTTTTGTAGACTATTGTAGCTTCTACACATAGATGTCAAAGGACAGTGGTCCTAGAGAAAAATTGATTTTGAGGTTATCTTGAGTTATTTAGAATATACGGTGTTTTTGCCTAGATGTAGAATACAAATACAGTTGTTATTAGAAAATATTTTGATTTAATTGATTTCACGATTTATTATCGAATGTCATTGATGCAGTTATTATTTTCAAGCAATTAGAAAATTTGACGAGGGCGGACCGAACACATTACCTTGAAGTTTCAATCTATACTTATAAATGCACTCACCCATTTATCTCTGTTTCTCCGTACTGGCAACCACCGAGGGGCGCCCCTCGGTGGTAGCGTTTACGTATAAAAATTACCTTTTCATCACTGTTTCTCAGTACCGCTATATTTTTGGAGGCTGAAATTTTGTATGTAGGTTGATACGCCTCTGTAAAGAGCATTTGTATGTCTTNAACTTATGATGCACTGTTTGGAGCCTTTGGTGTAGTAATGACTATTACTGGAGTTTTTCCCCAACACCAAACTGATCCTCCTCTTGATGATGATCTCTTGGTAATCGAAACACGTGATGAAATAACGGTTTGGTGTTGGGAAAAAACTCCAGTAATATTCATATTGAATTATATTCTATATATCCAATATATCTGTCCATAATGTGGTCGTTGCTCACATGAAAGCTGCTACTCATATTTGAGTAGCTGCAAGGTATGAGTGGACCCCCTAACATCCAAAGTACAGAGCCGAAAAATTCTGTTTCCGCTGCGCTACTTCCCTCACTACTTGAATGTTGAAATTAGGTTAGGTTAGGTTAGGTCCAAAGTGAGTGGGTCTATTCGACCCTGCACCGCAACCCGTAAGGGTTTATTGTGCCTCACATCAATTCACACTCGACCAAATAAACCCAGCTTCTTAACGAAGCCGATTAGTTTGTATGGATTTGAGGTCAGATGGTAAGAGTACGGCTTTGTGCCTGCCCCAGGCACAAGGCTCCCACCTTGATACCTGTAACAACCTTCCCATATGAGGATTTTTGCGCGTCAGCTACACCTGACGATGCCTTAGATTCAACCGTGCTTGGCTTTTCTGTCTCTGGTTTTGGTGAATCATCACTTGAGTGCAAACGTTTGCTCATGGGGAGTTTGTTCCTTCACCTGGGACAGATTCTACCAAACTTGGACTTTTCTTATCTTGATTGACATTTTTTCAGTGACTGGCGGCGCCCCAGTCAAAATAGTTGAAATATTTAAAAATCTGGAACATGTATATGAGAAACCTAAATTTAAATTCATACTTGAAAATCAGCCTTTTGGTAATATGGATATAGGTAAATCATCATCGATGCCTAAATTCACAATATCATCGCCCGTAGCTAAGCACGAGCGAAACAGCAAGTTATATATAAGCACAAAGATCACGTGTGTATGTACAATATGTGTGTATGAACAATATGTGTGTATTTCTGTTTCCACAAATATCACATACGAAGTGAGTCATCGAAAAAGAAACTATCAGGAAAATGATTTTTGGCAAAGATCCAAAAACGAGTCAAGTGATTCTTCATTGAAGACTTTAAATTCAATATTTATTGTGGATTTACTTTTCAGTCTTGGTATACTCTTCTATTGAATATGGAGTTTTGAAATACCAACGATACATATTCGTGAAAATGCAAGAAGTTAGATTTCGGGGAATATTGAGGTAGAACCGGGTAGCTAAGGTTTGCAAATTTCCCGAGTTTTTCAGTTTGAGTATGATCAGTAACTGCCAAAAGGATTGATATATATTAGGTACTACTTGTTTTTTATTAACCCAAAACATCAGGTTTTCAGCTTCAAAACCGACGAAATTCAATACAATATTTGAACTCCTTATTATTGGGGTTGGGAATTCCTGATTCCCTTTCTTGATGCCTATTTACGTTATACAAAAAACCTATTTGCATATTTCAAGATGCTAGGCTCTGTATCTTCGGCTGTACCTTAATATAAGATCCAATCAATAGGTACCCACTTATGCAATATTGAATATCAGCAACAAAAAGTGAAACGATTAGAACGAAATACATTGGTAATCCTACTAATCCTACTCCTACTAATATTGCGAATGCATATAGTTTTTGAAGATATATGAATGTCATGTATGTATTTACGTTTTTACTTTTTCACGCCTGAAGAGCTCAACGTATTCAAATGTGAGTTGATATATAGATAGATCATGACCTTGATTAATACATACGGTAGGTTCCCACGGTAACGCGGGGAACAGCGGGGAACAGCTAGTATTGTATAAGTGGGTACATATTCAATGAATGACACTCTCATATCAATGTACAGCCGAAGCTACTGAACCTAGAATCTTCAAATATGCAGGTAGGTTGTTTGTATGGCGTGAATGAGCATCAAGAAAGGGAATCAGGAACTTCCAACCCCAAGGGGAAAAATAGGGGTAGGTAGGTAGGTAGGTAGGTCTAAAGTGAGTGGGACTATTCGACCCTCCACCGCAACCCATAAGGGTTTATTGTGGCTCACACCTATTCACACTCGGCCAAATAAAAGAGACAATCTTTTTAGTCTTCCTATCGAGGAGAGTCTTTTTTGGCAGTTTGCTACCAATTTAGACGTTGCTCGGTGGGAGCCAAGAGCTTCCAATGCCGTTAGACTGTCCGCGAATATTGTTATTGACTTGTGAGTGAGGTTGGATTTATCCAATCTGTCCGCACGCAATTCAATAGCGTAAATTTCAACTTGAAATACAGTCGCACAAGTTCCTAGGCAGGTAGATAACTCTGTCCTGGGTCTGCGACTGAAAACACCTGCACCAGAACCGGAAGGTGTTTTTGATCCATCTGTGAACCAACAACTATCTGCTCTTAATATTTCGTTCTCCAGCAGGATCCAGTCCTCTCTACTCGGGAATAGTACTTCATAAGGCAGTACGTTGTTGACAGTTGGATGCAAAAAGTCAGAGTTCTTTTCCAGAATGCTGTAACTTCTAATGTCATCCAACAGTCTGTTGCACTCTGCATTGAATTGATTTGTGCAATTGGCAATGTGCACAAGTCTGTATGCAGTCCGTCTAGCCTCTCTTTCCAGAATAATGTGGAGAGGAGATAGATCTAGAAGGATCTCGATGGCCGCTGACGGTGTGGTACTGATGGCACCACTGATAGCCAGAGAGCTTCGCTTGGCCGTTTTTTGTAAAGCCTTCGGTCATCAAGCAATTGCAACATACGTGATCATTGGTCTGACAATCATCACATAAATCCACTGGATTTGTTTGGGACCTAAACCCCACACAAATCCTTCGACATGTCCATAAAGACAGTCTGGCTTTGTGTAAATCTTTTTCCAAGTGACCGTTCCAGGTGATTCTTTTATCAATGACAATGCCAAGATATTTCACCTTCGTTCCAAATGGAATGACCACACACACCATTGAGGGAAAGTGGCATTAGATCATCCAATTTCCTTCTCTTGGTGAAGGGGATTAACACAGTTTTGCTGGGGTTGACAGCAATAGGAGAAACCTGAAGTTTTGGGTTAATAGAAAAATATTGTAACTATTAGTTCGAAACGTCGAACAAATAGTTACAAAATAGATGAATAAATGATAATACATATACTTAAACTATATGAATATCTGAAACGGTTGAAATTGTCGACTCTCATCGAAACTGAGAAATTCAACAATTCTATTTCATTGATTTTCATCTCATATTATAGGTCTCAATTTTTGAGGTCTAATGCCTCTCATTTTTCAGGCATGCAAAACGTTCAACGATTACTGCTGATGATGTCAAGCTGCTGGTCAGACGTAATGAATCACTGGTAATACTCTTTGATGATACGTCAATAATTTTGTTATCATTTTATTTTTATAGTACAGAAGGAGCTAGTAGATTCCAGACTACAGGCAATAATTGCGAGAAACCCCCATGAACCTACAAACAACCAGAAAAGGAAACGAAAAGGAACTGTTTAATACAATTATTACGTACAGAAGTTTCAATATTTATTTCAGATTTTATGTGTCATAGTTTAATCTCCTATATCATTCTTACTCTGAAGTTTCCATAAAGTATTGTAATTTATTCTCACTTGATTGATTTTTTCCTGTTTTGATCAGTTATTCTGTGGAAATCAAAGTAAGTTCAGTAATTAAAACAACAAATATTATGTCAACATCAACTTCGATGGTAACTTATAATTTCTTATTAACAATTCATGATACGTGTACAGGTGTTGAATTCACTTGAGATGCCCTTACAAAAAAATCTTAACTGCTTGTGTCTGGTGGCATATGTGGCCATGTACATAGACTTTCCCGACCTATCCGCGTATTAGTATAAATTTGATGTAGATATTCCAAGATTAAAGACTGAATAGGTTGACGCACCACTACACACTACTACAGTTTCGTCCTATAGGGACATTTTCAAACTTATACAATAAACAACAATATAACGTTATACAATAAACAAACAATATAACGTTATAAATTAACGTTAGTTACAACTAAAAGTGGTGAAAAACATAGAAAGTTTCAATTCTCTTCTCTTCATTATGATTTCCTACCACGTAGTAACGGCTATATCCATCAATTTATTATGCATTTTAATTCAAAGCAAAAGTTGTGACTGATTGAAAAAAAATTGAAGATACGTGTGACTGTATAGATCTAGATGACCAGATGAAAAGCAGAGACCACTCAGGTGAACAGAAAACTGTAAACTGTTGGTGTAGACGAATCTATACAATGGTGAATTTTTACACACCAAAAATTATTATTAGCAGAGTTCATAGTAGCACTTCAATAAAAGTTAGCTTCATATATGAAGAGAACTTGACGCCCAGACTATTATTGATGTTTTAATCACTGGCAGTAGAAGTTAATCAGATATCACTGGAAGAGGTTTTCCAGCTCCGTTTGAAAAGAACAAAATTCAAGAAAGCCGCGAATAATGTTTCCGAATAAGCCTCTGTTCAAACACCTACCTGCGTATTTCAAGATTCTAGATTCAGTAGCTTCGACTGTACGTAAATATAAGAGCGGACAACAGCTAGTAATTTATATTTTTGCTTTAAAAATACAGTAACCAAAAAAATATGCCCACTATACTAAGTGATGAATAGCTTCGAGAATCGAATTATTTTACCTATAAAGGAGTTCGCAAAACTAACACAACCGTCAACGACGTCACGGCGATTGCGCTTCATTGTTTAGACCGCCCCTCTACCACCGCGCATCGTTCCTTGTCGTCTTACAGTAGACGCGACGCGTAGTGGCTTACTGCGTAACGTCAAGTTAATCTTATCGTGATAACTTTTAAGCGATTGATCCGAATTACTCAGTGTAAAAAACAAAAGTTTATCTCTATTAGATGCTCAAAACGACAATTGTATCAATTTTAATAAGAACTTGACAGATATTCTGAAATGTGCATTATAAGAAAAGTATCCAATTCAATTGTATTTGAGGCTCAGTATTTTGCATATAGTGGCTACCACATAGGAGGTAAATATATACTATCTACGACTTTTATCTTTTTATTTAGAACTATTCAAGATAATGTTGTAAATCATGCCTGAAAGAAAATAACGCCGGTCGCCATTGGTAACCCTACACCAAACGTGACGTAGCTAAGAGTACGCGAATGTACGATGATTCCCCGCCACTCTAGAAGCAGCTATGGAATGCTATCGAACTTCGGTAAAATTTCTACGGAATTAGATTACGTTATTTAAACGCTAGCTGCGAGCATATCGACACAGTCAAGTGGAAGCTACAGTGCGGTACGCGAAGTGATCTAGTAAGGCGATAGACATTCAAATAATAGTTAAATTTTTAGTTGAAGTGTTTGTGGTATTCAAAGTGTAGTCTCAATTATTGGTGAACCCACAGGAGCAAACGTAAAATGAAACAATCTTGCGGTACAATATCTGTATGTAATTTCAACGGTATAGGCAGCGCACGCCAAGACAGCTCTCAGAAAGCAAGAATGTTTCCGACTTACCTAATACTCATCGTTATATGATGACCGAAATTACACAAAACCTTTGTAAATTGTAGCCTATATGTTATTTTGATGTATAAGCTGTATTTATGTAAAGTTCCATTTTTAAATCCGTTCAGTCGCTTAGGCGTGAAAGAGCCATAAACATACATGCACACATCCTTCCAGTAATGAATATTACTGAAGTTTTTTCCCAACACCAAACCGTTATTATAACACCTCGACACGTGTTTCGATCACCAAATGATCATTTTCAAGAGGAAGATCAAACTTTTCAAGAGAAAGATCAAGATATTCCTCTTGAAGATGATCACTTGTTGATCTAAACACGTGTCGAGGTGTTGAAATAACGGTTTGGTTTTGGAAAAATCTCTAGTAATATTCATAGATATGGGTAATGAAGGTAAATCTATGAGGACTATACCGTGGGACACAGACTTATGGTACACCCACTTTTTTTCATTCATTTCTCTAGCGATATTTCTGAAACTTGGAACATTGAATATGCTCACTAGACGGCACTTTTTGAAATATTTGTGAAACAAATTCAACTTTTGGCTTTTCCGGAAATGACAGCAACTTTTGATTTTCAAATGGGACATCCTATATATTATCACAAGAACGGTTAGGAGAAATCATGAGGAATCCAACGATATCAGGTTTGATGGTGTTATCTCTAATGACTACGGAGATATCTCCATTTATTTTATCCATAAACTCAATGAGTGGGAGAGAGAGAGAGAGTTGGATGGACCCTCCACAAAAAGTTTCTTTGTCCTACTCATTGAGCCTATGTATAAAATAAATGGCGATATCTCCGTAGTCATTAGAGATAACACTATCAAACCTGGTATCGTTGGATTTCTTATGATCTTTCCTAACCGTTCTTATGATGATATATAGGATGTACCGTTTGAAAATTAAAACATGCTGTCATTTCCGGAAAAGCCGGAAGCTGAATTTGTTTTACAAATATTTCAAAAAGTGCCGTCTAGTAAGCATATTCAATGTATAAGTTTCAGAAATATTGCTAGAGAAATACAGGAAAAAAAGTGGGTGTACCATAAGTCTGTGTCACACAGTATAGTTTGGTTAATCTTGAATTTAATTGATCGCATTTTCTGAAGGGTTTCATAAACAAGTAGGTCTTTTACTTCCTGAACCTTTAACGTATTCAAAATCTCTTTATTGTCAGATTTTCACTAAACAGTTTTACAAAAATACAACACGTGTTTCGCCATACATTGACTTTTTCGGGCGTGTATTTACTGTTTATCCAGTAAAAACTCTTTACTTTTCACCCAATAAAGGCCCGAAGAAGCCATTGTATGGCGAAACACGTGTTGCGTTTTTAAAAATCTGTTTTTTAAATCTAATCTATTTAAAATCTGTTTTTCCGTTAACCAGCTGTCGCACCCCTACGAACGACAACCCTCAGAAGTCGAAACTTGTGCGAGATAAGGATTAACGAGGTATTACCTTTTAACGTGTGATTCCTAACACGAGTTGGACGATAGCAAGTGAAAATCGATCGCTCAGAGTAGGGCTTGAACCACCGACTAACACGGCAGTCAATTCGAGTGAGTGAACAAAGCACCCGCGTCGAACCGCCTGGCCACCGAGCGTAAAACTGTTTAGTGAAAATCTCACAATGAAGTGTTTTTTGAATACGTTAGTTATAGATTTTCATCAAGTATCTGCCCATTCCATCATATATCTGAAACTTCAAATCTACCGGTACCGAGTATGCTACGGTGTTAGAGAAACGCGTCTAAATAAAAACGATTCGTGAAAATATCATCATGGATACTGTTATTCGCATAGTATACTTTTTTTAGGCAAAATGAAATGGCAATATTTATTATTTTATAAAAAAAAAATATGAAAACTATGAAATACAAATCAATCTACTGAATTTAAAATCATTAGGGTGATTCCGGGGGAGACGGCCGTACGGGAGAGATGGCCAATAGAAAAAAGTTCAAGTAATAACCAATAGATGACACTAGTCATCGTTTAGTTCGGTTCGCATCCACTGTCAGTGGATTTTTTGTCGGAAAAATAATGAAACGGTGAGTAATTCGACTTCTTGTTTTTATTATGCATGCGAGTTAAGTACTGGGGTTAACATATTAAGTGATCACAAAAAGATTTTGAAAGTTATGTCCCTTTTCGTGCCTTCCCAGTGAAGTAATGAATTTCTCAGGTGTTCTAATCTCAAAATTACCCACTAACTTGAGAAAAGTCTTTAATTACCTAATGTGGTCATCTCACCCGGACAATTAGAAGAGATGGCCATATTATTTGCAGGAAAGATAGCCATAATAATGATTGTCCTAATTTTGATTCATTTTTAATTTCCAATATTTTCTACAGATGCCGAACCAATACGAACGGAAGGTGGCTGCTGGTCGAGGTGAATGGAGCGAAGAAGATTCAAAAAGTGCTATGGAAGAAGTACAAAATCGAAGGATGACGATTTATAGGAGTAGGAGATTTGTACACGCCTCCTGCGTTGGAGCCACTTACAGGGCCTCTCTTATCTACAAAATATCAGGAAAAACACCTGAAAGAAGGTTAAAAGTAAATAACAACACTAAAGAACTTATGGGACCGTCATCTACCTTCGGTACAGATAATGAAAAAAGACTGAGAACTCATATAAAAGACATGTAGTTAAGATGCTTTTTGTTGACTATAAATGATTTTAGAATAATTGCATTCAAGTTTGCTGAGCAAATAGGAATTGAACATAAATCCTGTAAAACATATGAAAATGCGGGCTATGATTGGGTGAAAATGTTTCTGAAAAGAAATTCCGATATTTCATTAAGGATATCAGAAGAGGTGTCATACGCTAGAAGTCAAGGGATGAATAAATCAAATGTAAACGCCTATTTTAAAATTCGTGAGAAAACTCTCAGTGATAATGATCAAATAAATAAACCTGGGCATATTCACAACATGGACAACTCCGGGTTGCAGTTAAATAATCGACCAGGTCATGTTTTGACTAAAAAATGTTCTAAGGCTGTAGCTATGCCAATCTCTACAGAAAAAAGAGAAACGATAACGGTAATTGATTGTTGTAATGCTAAGGGTAATTTTAAGCCTCCGGCGTGCATTATGAAAGGACAACGAAAGAAACCTGAATTCGAAGATGAACTG